TCTAATAGTTTTTGGATTCAAATTACTTCTTTTATCAGTAATTAAATTTTTACTACTAGAAAATACTCTTTCTACTGAAGTACTTGTAGCTAAATGCAAAAATTGTAATTATAATTTAATATATATTTATAAATATATAGTTATTTATAAAATATAAAAATTGACCTGCAGGTCGATAGCATAGTGGTTATGCTCCCAGGTTGCAAATTGGACGGTTGCCAGTTCAATTCCTCCCAGCGGCGAAATAATGAAAACCCAAATTTGAAAGTGAAACACTGCGGGGTACAGGGAACTCAGAACATCTACGGATGGACGTATTCGGGGAATAGTTATTCTGAGAAGTTGTAGCTATGAAGTGAGGCGTGTTAGAACCCCGATTTGGAATAACCGAAGTCATGAGACGTACTGTGAAGCCAAAGTCTGATAAGATACTACAAGAACTCGTGGTGCCACCGGATTGGCTGGTAAAATCCCAGTCTAATATTAAGGTGTTTTGATCTCTTCGGAGTGTCATGCAGGCAGTCGGATCTAGGCCCCAATAAGGGAACTAGAGAAATAGCGGGCAATAGATCCCAGGTGGATACACATGATTTCCGTATGAGAATTATGAAGGTTCTGTGACACTAGTAGCGTAGGGTCAACTATAAAGATAGCTGGACCAAGTCATGTCTAGACTTGCCGAAGTAATAAAAAAAAAAAAAAAAAAAAAAAAAGCAAAATGAATACTTTTGTACCCAGGGTACCAAAAAAGTGACCCAGAACTCCCAAAATCACTCTACTAGTTTAGCATAAACAAAGTAGCATAATTGCACTTTTCATATAACCAATTCTGCAACAAATTACTTCTCTGATGCAACCATTTCCCAACTGTTTCTCTGACAAACTCTTTTCAATACAACAACCTACTTGACATAACATTTCCCATCTTTGACATAGCTACTTAGCTCACAACCTTTTTGACAATCTCTTCTTCTTTAAACTCTCCTCTTCCTGTCTTGCAATTACCTTTTAAAAATCTTCACATACTCATCATGCTAAATTATTTTGTTATATTTAAATAAAATAAGTTATTAAAAAATAAAATTGCTTAAATAAAAATAAAAATAATATAAATATTAATTAAAAAAAAGAATTATTAAATAAAAAAATAAAAGTAAATTAAAATTAAAAAATTAATATTGTTTTGCAAACGAGAACTCTTCCCAATGACCATTTGGACCAAAATTTCTTACTAAAGAGAAACTAACTTTTGTTAGAGAGTTGTCGTAGTCTAATGTAATAGTTGCCTAGAGGTCAATGGTGTTCTGTTCCAGAACTCCTCTATAAGTTGTGCATTTGACATACAAGCCAAGAGCATTGGTAGACAAGATAACTGGCAGGAGGTGTGTGTCCTTGAATACAAAATCTTGGTGAAGAAACTAGAGTCTTTTTCATTGATAAAGTTACTTAGGCTGTTTCATCCTGAAGGAGAACACAAGAGAAACAACAAAAGCTGATTTTTTTTTAAGCTGCACTCCTTTACTTGGCCAAGTAGTTCCTCCTTTACTTCTATTTATCTTTCTGTTGGTCTTCCAAAATTTTTTGAAAAAAGTGGGGATTTGGCTTACCCTCCAAAAGATCAACATTGTTTATTTCCAAATTCAGATAGACTAGTAGATGGCAGCATATGTCCAAAAATGGATATGACATTCAAGTGCTGAAATGAGTCTCAGTTAAAAAAGGAATCCCTGATTGCGGCAGCAAGTATTTGAGATATGGGTCTACGAACGGTGACAGCACTAGCATAGCAGACTTTCTCTGTAATTGGTTAAATTTTTGTAAATCATTTCATGATTTTCATAAATTTTATTGGCTAATAAAACAAGATTAGTGTAACAATAGCCTTCTATAAAAAAAAAAAATTATTGAAATAATACTGTACTTTTTTTAATAAGTTTTTTATATTATATACAATATAGAAAATATAGAATATCAATACAAAAAAATTACCAACAAGTTAGAGGGCATCCATAAATAATGTTATGTTTGAGGGGGGAGGGGTCCCCCAAAATATAACGATTTTCCAATATTTAGAGAGGGTCCCTCAAAATATAACACAATTTTTTTATAAAAATTTGTCTAAAATTTGAACCAGTGGTCCAAATTGGCTAATTTTGGTACCATTCGAATTGTTTCAAGAAGAGGAGTCGAATACTACCAAAATTATTTGATTTGGATCACTGAATCATATTTTATTAATAGAATACTATTGGTTATTATGTTTTCTTATAAAATTACTATAAAATCAATAGTATTTCATTAATAAAACATTATTCAGTAGTCCAAATGAAATGATTTGGTACCATTGAATTCGTCTCACAGAGACGAATCAAATGGTACCAAAATCATCCTGATTGGATCACTGGGTCATGATATATTCAAGTTTTTGTAAAATTTTATATATAAACATATGGATTTTTAAAAATTTTTTATATAGTCTAGAGAGGGTCAAGAGCTACTATATAGGGGTACATAATGTTATTTATAGATGCCCCCTTAGCTTCAACAAAAAAAGAAAGGCACAATATTGTAATTTGAAAAATTTTAATAATATTGCTTGTAATTATAAGCAGTATGGCACTTCGACTATAACTAATTAATTAGTTATACCAGAACCAAGCCAATATTTGAATTTAGTTAGCAAAGTCTTGTGTTGAAAATACTATAATAAGTATATTGTTAATGCCAAAAAAAAAAACCTAAACTAACTAATTTATATACTCATTCTAAGCATGAAATCTATTTGGTAATAGCTAGAAATGAAGGAAAAAAATTCAAAAAAGCTTCAGAATGGCTAATTAAATTTTTTGCTTTACCAAAAGAGGCAGTGATGTGTCATCATTGTCTATATAAAACGGATAGCAATTCGGAATATACTAGTTTGTATAATTACTCTAAAAAAGTTCCAAAAGGGAACATAAAACAATTTCAAAGTAGGTCGTATACTTTATGTAGTGATATATTTACTCTGAATCCGAATTTCAGGAATTAGAGTCTGTGTACCATGAAGTGTATACAGAATTAGATGAAGTGAAGCTAGGTAGTTAAATATTTGTTATTTGTTTTTACTTTTTTTTTTTTTTTTTTTTTTTTTTTTATAATAATTATTTTTTTAGAGTTGATTCCTTTAAGCAAGAAGATTAAGTTAATGTCTGGAATATTGCATACAAGACAATATACATATTATGAAAGCCCTATTCTTGATCCGAATAAATTCAACAAAATGCTTGAAGAGGCTGAACTATTGTTAAAAGGTTTTTTTAATCAACTAGTAGCTGGAACTAACCCATAAGCCAAGAGCCACATGACAAATGAAAAAAATAAAAAGAGTTTGGTTTCTTTCTGTTATTTTTTAGCCAGACTAAATAATAAATTTATTAATGGGGTTAAGGCAGAAGTTGGGCTTTTGCTAGATGTATCTGGCACATCTTCATTAGCAATAGAGACTTTAGCTAGTGCAGGTTTAATAGTAAGGTGTAAAACCATTGCAAGGCAGAAGGCCTGGTATGTAAAAGCGTATACAATAATAGTAGAAAAGTTTTTAACTGAGAATGTATATATATTTTTTATATTTATTTTATATTTATTTATTTTATTTTTTATTTAATTTTTTTATTTTATTTATTTTATTCGTTTTATATAATTTATTTGTTTTTTTTTTATTTAATTTTTGACAGATCAAAAGCTTGGTTGTCCTTAATGTGGATAACTTCCATAACATTTATGAATCTCATCATAATGATACAACCACTATATATGATATTTCACATTTTATCACAATGCTTTTAAAAGCAGTATCTGAAGCAATATTGATTCTATTTACTAACCCTAATCAAGAAAAAATTATTCATAATGAAAGAGGTATTGATTCAAAAATTATTATAGAAAATGCATACTCATATTTTTTTTTTATTTATAGCTTAGTTATACAGAATGGAAGAGAACATTTGCTGAATTAGCATTTGTACAAGAAACTCATAATGAAAAAGTCGAACACCTTCTTATTCATAGCTATGACGATAGAATAGAACAATGTCAAGAAGATAGAAGCATAACAAATATGAAACTTGTTTGTTTAATGGAAGGGTCTCTTCATTCAACTGAAGAATATGTAAATGCTCTTTAGCATTTAATGAATATTCCTAAAGCAAAAGCCTACATAGAGACACGAGTATTAGTAGCACCTATGGACTACCCCGGCCAACTTCATATATGGTGTGGAATTATTTGCCATATTAAGAATGGTAATTCTTCTGGAATACTAGAACAAATTTTGCATGTTGTTCCAATGATTGGATCTTTGCATGTATCCTTAAATAGTCATAAGACAATAATTATAAATTTTTTAACTTGCTCTATCATGGGTTTTTGGAGAAAAAAAGGTTTTGGCACAAAAGCCAAAATCTTATAAAATTAATTTAATTTTAAAAATAGTATCGCAAGGCTGGTCTCAAGTTCGTTCTATAATTGTATGAAAATTTGAAAGTTTTAAACATCCAGAAGTCAGATATCTTATTAATTTGTTAGATAATATTGTTTTCTTGGTTTTAGATTTTTATCCCATCATATTTCGCAGTGGCAGTTGGCAAGTATATATAGAAGCAATGTTTTGTGTTTGGGTCACTTTTTATCAATATCAATGAAAAAATTACAATAAATTGCCTTTGGCATTTTTAAGTAATGTTTTTTTTGGATTAGTACTAATCATCCTATCTCACAAGTTCTTGTAGGTTCTCTCCATGTTTTCAATGATTATTTTGTTGAAAATTTTTATAGTTTACTTTGACGGCAGATACGTGAATCCAATACAGCAGATTAAATTATCATAGAAGCACAAATAGTTGTTCAGATGCATAGCAAAAATTCTTTTAAGAACACATTTGCTAAGAATCATAATATTAAATACTTAGAAAAACAGTTAGAGTATCTTGAAAAGCATACTTTGCTTTTTTTGTTAAGATTTTTTGTAGATGTTTACAAGAATCTTGGTAAATCAAAAATTATTGCATCTGATAGAAATTCAAATCTAACATATGAATTTCCAATACTTCAGACCAATGTTGATATAAAAATATTGTCTATGGCTTGGAATATAGCGTATCCTCCACAAAAAGATAGATACTGTGACTTGGAAGGCTATATAGACTCTCGTGAAGTAGGTTATATTTTAATTTGTGAATATGCTTATCATTTCAATTAATTTTTTTTAAACTAGGAAGTTGATGCCATTATTGTGTGGATTATCTTATAAGCGGAATTGAGAAGAATTGTAATGCGTTTCAAGCAACTTTAAATTCTTCAAATAAGAAGGCCAAAGATAAAAAAAAGAAGCGTGTAGATGAACTTAATATTACTGAAGCCGATGATAGCATCAATGTCAGTGAAGATACTAGTATTAGCAAAAGCTTTTATTTAGATAAGAATATAGAGTCTTTGTCTTTAAAATAGAGTTTCAAGGTTTCCAAACCAAAATTGAGATTTTTGCTAAATCCCAATTTATAAAACACAAAGCTCATTTTGTATAAATTTTATTAAAATGAGTTATGGAAGTCCAGAAATTTGGCAGAAAATTTTTTTTAGTATCTAAAAATAGAATGAAAATAATCGACCATAGTAGATACTATCAATTTTGTATAGGCATCATTACACAAATTAATTTTTATTCAATAATAAAAATTTTATGAAGATCATATTTAAAATTAGTGAAAAATCAAATTTGAGTTGTTTGAATTATACAACCTTTATTTACTATTTGCTCAAAAAAAATTACTAGTCCTGTAACTTAATTTTCAAGGCAAAAACTTAATATAAATCTTAGTAATATAGATCTACATATTGAAAAAGCTATAAATACTTTGACAAGTGCACAATAGAGAGTTTAGTTATAAGTTTACAGAATGTGGGTTGCAGAATTTTACTATTTGTATATAACAAAATTTTTTAATAAATAAAAATAGAATTTTGATTTATATATATTAAGTACCCTCTTAATTAAAATAAACAATTAATTTATCTTATTATCAAAGAAAAATTAAATAATAAAACTTTTATTTATTTATTTATTTTCTTTTTATATGAACAAACTTTGTACATTACATTTTCAAAATTTTCTTACATCCCAATATCGAAGAATCTCTACAATTTTCGCATTACATATTTTAGTTCTTCATGCAACATCAACCAAAAAAACTAACAAATTTAAATTCTTCACCCAACAAATAATGAGCTTATTACAAACACCATTTCACATTCACAACACTCTTGGCAGTGTTGTACATAGAACATGTTCACACTATGTAAAATATCCAATGTCCAAAATTGTCCAAAATTATCCAAGCCTATGTCCCATATTTAACTAATCAATAAAGTAATTTAAAAAAATATATAATTATATATTTTTTTAGGTGCTGGACTCATTGGTAAAAAAATTAAAATAGATTATCTTAATAAAATTTTGAGTAATTTTAATTTGAAAAAATGTTCAAGATTGTCCAAAATTGTCTCATGTACAACACTGACCCTTGGTAACTGTATTATCTTTATCCTTAGTTCTATAAAAATGTGCTTTACTATAAAAATTTTGGCTAACAAAAATGCACTTTACTATAAAAATTTGGCCAATATACACTGCCTGTCCAACATCTAAAAATAAAGCTTAATAGTAATAAAAAAAAAATTGGTTGATCTTTAGTAGAGGTGGCCACTATAAAAATATTATAAAATTATAATATTCAAACATAGTATTTGAGCTAATTTAAGCAAATTTGAGATTAGTTAGGGTTAGTTAAGGGTTATAGTAAAGTTTATAGTTAGCTCTAGAGTTAGAATTAGAGTTTTTTTATATTATAATTTTATAATATTTCTATATTGGCCACCTATATTAAAGGAGATCCAAAAATTTTATTGTTAATATTGATAGTCTATATCTCTGTTCACTATTGAATTTAAAAAAACATTCTCTTACATTATTACAGTTTATCCTCGTTAATATCAATCTAAGCAATAAGATGAATTTTTACAAATTTTTATATATTAAAAAAATTCTTTTATATATATTAACTTTAATATAATTCCTTGTTAATATCACTATCAACATGAATTTAGACTAATTCAAATAGGTTGATATAAATGAAGATAGACTGTATTTAGTTGAATTCATAGTGCTTTTTGACTAATAGTTGACAGATTTAACTACAAATTGTTAAAACATATACTTGTTTCTATGTAAAAAAAAAAAAAAAAAGCTTAACTAATACTTGGTTCTTCTGAAAACAAAGACTTGTGTACAATTAACTGTGTCTCAAGAGTATAGAATCTTTAAGTTGAAAAAAAGTATTTTGAACTATATTTAAGATCTGTTATATAGTTATAGAAAATAAAATAGACTTCTCATCTAACTTTTAAATTACTTCGCGAATTACTGAATTACTTTGATGGTTTGTAAAAAAGAACTTATACTTTCTGAATTTTTTTGTCTTACCCTTTGCAAATTCGTATTCGTGGCTGTGAATTGATTTTTGTAGCTGAGAAACATTATGCTAATATGAAAGATATATTGTATCACATTTCTGTCGATCATCCAATCAAATTAAAGCTCGCTATGCTGGCAGCACCTGCTTGAGATACAAATTGAGTTTATAAAAAAATCTGGAGTTAGATCAGAAAGAAAAATTATAATAAGGTGTACAGTAGAGATATACAGATGTTGCTCTTGTATATAATTTTTATCAACCTAGCATGGATTATAATAGTGCACATCTATTTCTTATATGTGTCAGGTAGTGTTAGTAGTTGGTCTCAAAATATCAGCTAACTAAGCCGATAGTATAAAACTTGGCTTAGCCGGCTTAGCCAACTAAGTAGTGCTTATATAAAATTTTATATTTAAAAATTCTTATTTAATTTTATAATAAAGAATCTGCATATTCGGATATCTATTAATTTTAAATAGGAAAACGGCATTATAGTTTAGAAGAAATTGTATTTGTTAATTACGTGCATACGACATGGTGCACATAATATAGTGATAATTATAGTATTACCATTACTGTGCACTTATAAAAACTTGCCTTTCTCTATTGATAATATATATTTTATTTTAATACGTAAAAAAGAAATTTATACATATATATATAGAACTCTATTCTAAAATTTAAATGTTTAATACAAAAAGTTTTTGTTTTTTTATAATCCGGTATAAACATTCATTACTAATGAGTTTTCTTTTAAAAATAGTAAATCGTGAACTATATTAGTACTTAAATGATTACATTTATCAGTTAAGACATTTCTTGCATCAGAAAAAAGTCTTTCTGCAGGAACTGAGGTTGCTGGTATTCCAAGAAAAATTTGAGCCTGTTTAGTAAGAAGTGGCAAGGTAATTCGATGCTCTTTCCACCATGCTAAAGGATTATTGTTTTTATAAAGAGAATCCGTAAGTTCATATTTGGGCATTTGTAAAATAGACAAATATATTTGCAACTCAATATCGAGAGATGAAGGGGTTGATTCGACTTCTTCTTCAAAAAAATAAGGACATATTAGATGCTTTTATTGGATTACCCGTAACTAAATCTTTATGTGATTCTTGTATGGAGAGATTGATTCTTCTTCATAATTCATTAATCACATCATCATGTTTGTTAGGTGGGGTATTTAATAATAATTTAAAACGAGGATCTAACAACATAGCAAGCCACCCAACTATGTTAGGATTTTTCCAATGGCTTTGCATGGAGTCTTTAAGAGAGGTATGCATAGCAATAACAAATGAATTAGTAAGTTGAGCTTTAATATCTAAAAAGATGTTGTATTGTTGAATATATCATTCCTAGCATTGGGTATTGGCTACCACCCATATAAATAGATGCATGTGCAAAAGAATAAAGTAAGTTATATAATTTATCTAGTCCTTGCCAATCATCATCTGAGATAATTTTTTCTTTTAACAAATTTCCATCATTATGAATTGCTTTTTCAGGATCTTTTATTAAATTATTAGCTAATGCTATGATTGCTTCACAAAGATCTAAAAGCCTTTTAAGAAGAACATAAGTAGAGTTCTAGCAAGTCACAGTATTACTTGAAATAGGCTCCAATATTGTAGCAGATTGATTTGTTAAATTTTTGCCATTTATTTCAGCCTGAATTTTACAGAAACATGATCGATACTTATCACGTTTAACTAAAAAATTATTCATTGTTTTTGCATTTTCAATTAGGGTAATACTTTCTTCCAAACTATCCGAAATTGCAAGATAAATTGAATACGCTACACACCCCAAATGAGTAGTTTCTAGTTGCCTAACTGCTTTTACTATTGATGCTGTGTTGTCAGTCGTTACTGCAACTAATTTATCAAGTATATTCCAATTAGTAAGAACTTTGCACAAAAAATCTTCAATGCGATTTCCTATATGAGGGTATTTAAAATACTCAATTGTAAGTAAGGCTTGATACATCATAAAATCTTCTG